AGTTCATGTTTTAACGTTTTACTGATTGCTGACAACATTTACTAGGAATAGAACTTTCGGTATAAACCTGAATTTTAAATAAGATTGACTTGGAAATATTTTTTTTAATATGATTATATCTATTTTTATGTCATATTCACTTGAAAATATTTTTTAAATTTTATTTGACAATATGAATACAATACCGATTTCTAAATTCCTCATTTTTTCAGCTGTCCATTTTTCTTCCAGTTGTAAATGTTTTCTTCGAAATTAATTTTTCTTCGAAAGTTAATTTTGTTTTTTATTATGGTTTATAGAGAAGTTGTTATGTTATATTACTAATTAAATTGTAATAACTGTTAATTTGTATTATTGATGAAATTTTAATTGATTTATTATATTATTTTATTATTATTAAAGTATATATATATATATATATATATATATATATATATATATATATATATATATATATATTAAAGAAATAAGGGTGTAGCACAATATTAAATTTGTTTCTCCTCTTCATTACACATTTTCCTGTTGTTTTAATCTAAGTTAAATATGCCGTAGAGGCCTGAAGAGCGGGAGCGAAACCGGTTGCTTCACTTTTAAAAATTTCAGGTAATATTAAGCTACACACTTTAATTTCTTTAATTAGATTTTGTACCTTTCAAAATATTTTCATATATATATATATATATATATATATATATATATATATATATATATATATATATATATATATATATATATATATATATATATATATATACTAGAGTATATATATATATATATATATATATATATATATATATATAATAAAAAAGGCTTAAACAGTAATATTCCATGGTCATAATTTATTCCATTGGAATCGTAAATACGATCCAATTCATCAGACCTACAAATTAACAGAAAAAAACAACTCCGGAAATAAAAATAGAATTTAGAGAGAGTGTAAGTGTGGGACGAATGTTAGAGCTAAAGAGAGGGGTAACAGAGGAGAGAAGGAGGGAGATTAAACCTTAACAGAGAGAAGTTTTAGAGAGGTGAGTTGAAGAGGTTTAAGTGAGAGAAATATGAATGTTGTCGGATGTCTAATACATTAAACATGTAAGCGGAAAGGATACATTTTGTGGTGACATACACACAGTATAGACGATCTAATCTTAAAGATCAGAAGAAGAGGGAGGGAGAGAAAAAGAAAAGAAAAAGGGGTGGGGGAGAGAAATGGGGCGGGGGAAACTAAAACTGAAGGGCATTTACTGAAAGGGCCGCTGTGTAATTAAGAAAATTGGACAAAATTAATATCGACTACAGGTTACAAATCAAATATAAACATATAAAAAATAAATATAACGATTATCTAATCTAGCAAGGACCTATATTTTTATGTTCGAAAACACATGCGTATACACACATACACAATAACATATACACGTACATACATACATATAGGCGTGTACCCACATACACACATATATATACCCATGTACACACACACACACACACACACACACACACACACACACACACACACACACACATATATATATATATATATATATATATATAAATGACAATAGGAAAACTGTAGTTATTACTGACGCGTTTCGTCCAGTGTGGACTTAAAGCAAACAACGAAATGAATGTAATTAAAGAACGTATCTAATAATAATAATAAAAAAAATTCTGGTTGAATTTATTTCTATGTAATGATTTTAAAAATGCTACACTCATAAAAAACCCACTCAGAAGGAAAATTCTAGACAGTGCCGCCATTGAATATTACCCAAATATTAATCTACGGCCAGGCTTTTTTCCCTATTTCATCTTTCTTAACAAAATTACTGCTCTCCCAAACAAATATACACAACAATATCGTAAAATCAAAAGAATGGTTTAATCCGCCAACACAGTTATAATGACAATATTCTCAATTGTTATTTTCAATTAACAATATGAAAATAGCATTCTCTACATTCTTCTAGTTGCTAAGTGTTGGGGCGCACCCACCTTCTAACTGATAATGGACTTATCCCTCTACGATATAAGTCAGTGCTAGAGAGAGTACTGTTGTTGTGTGACGGATCAGGTTCAGCGACAGCAGTCGAGATCCGGTTACCATTACATACCGTTGGACTGTAGACTTTTGCTATTGTTACTTACTAACCGGCGTTCCTTATTACTAATCACTCTGTTGTTATTACCTATTACAAATATACCAGTATTTATCCCTACAACTGTGTTTGTCTTTATTCAAATACACACACGCGGAAACACTCCCAACAACTCAACACTAGGAACATTCTGTTTTTTGTTATTATTAGTTACGTTCTTTAATTAAATTAATTTCGTTTTTTTCTTTGAGAAAGTTAAAAATTGATTCAACTGTCTTAAGGCTAATCATTGGCTGGGACCTTCCATTTTGAGAGTACTTGGTTGTTTGTTAGCTGACTGCTGCTGCTTCCGGTTACTAGAAAGGAGTCCGACAATCGGTGGTGTTTGGAGAGGCTGTTCTGATCAACAGTTGCATAACGTCTGGGTATTTGTCGCGCCCTGTCACGCATTAATAGGTGTCCTTGCATGTATTTCAGGCGGGCAACCGTGAAGCCAAATCATGCTTTGGTCTCAACCACTTTCTGGATAGTTTATATTGCCATTAACGACTGGTGATTATTATATAATGGCCTTTTTTCTTTTCCTCCTTTTATATATATATATATATATATATATATATATATATAATTAAGTAATTCATCGAGTCTAGAAGAAATCTCAACAGAATGCAGAAAGAACAGGACGGCCATTTCGTCCTATATTTGAGCCTCATCAGCAGTGCGCATCCACTACTGAGAATTGAAAGCCGGACAGTTATGATAGGAGGCAAACGCCATACCAACTTTACCAACGGTTCCACCACGGAATTTGTGATCAGGCGGCGCTATATCGAGTCTAATTCGCTACCTCTTCGTCACCGAGAACAGTTGGTATGACGTTTACCTGATAAGCGAGAGCAGGTAGGAATGATAGAAGAAGGGATGAGGAGAAGGGTAGTGGATAGATCAAGGCAACTGGAGATGTCGATTGACATTACATTTGAATAGTTGGAGATTATAGCTATCAGGCAAACAGGAATAGGAAAGGGAGTTCCACAGGCGAGAGGTGCGAGACATAAAGCTATTGGAGTAGAAAAGGCGACTACATTTAACAGTTTCAACAGTGAAAGGGTGAGAGCGGGATGCCAGCCTCGGAGGACGCTTGAATTCGCGAAGTCTTGGAACCAGCGAAAACATCTCATCGGAGCAAATACCATGAGAGTATTTGTAAAAAAGACAGAGAGATGCGACGGCACGTCTGTGAGAGAGCGACTGCAGACGAGATACCAGATCAGGGCCAAATTTTCAGAAAGAGTCATAAAAGATCTACGTAAGAATGGTGAAGCTCGGTCTGTTGCTTTGCACATCTCGAAAGCTTTCGACAGGGTTTGACATACAGGTATTCTTCACAAGTTGAGAAGTTATGGTATCTTCGGTCAAATTTTTGAACTGCTTCAGTCTTTCCTATAAAATCTTGAACTGGAAGTTATCTTGAACGGCCACTCCTCTTGATCCTTTTTTTTTTTTTTTACTAATTCAGGTGTCTTACATTGTTTTTAATTTTCATTAACGACCTTTACGATGGCATCTGTACTCAACTTGGTAAATATGCTAACAGCACAATCATTTACTCTTGTCTCGATAATAGGCCTGATCAGTTCGATAAGGTCAAATTGGTGGTTGATGTAAAAATGACCTCCAGTCTGTTGTTCACAGAAGCAAAAGATGGCTTGTTAACTGCTGTCTATTAATCATCTAATTGTATTCATTTGGTGCTCGTTTTTGCACCAATAGCCTGGGAAAAGGTACAAACTCCACGCGTTAAATATAATAAACCAATATAACAAAAGAAAGAGAGAATAGAGTAATATTCAAACGAAAGAAGGAAATAATGAATGAACAGGGTATTAAATAAATACACAAAGAAAAAAGAAAGAAAGAAAAAGAAAGAAAGAATGGGTCAAGCAATATGTAATAGAAAAAAGGAAATAATGAATGAACAGAGGTATTAAAGAAAGAAATAAAGAAAGAAAGAAATAAAGAAAGAAAAAAGAAAGAAACGAAGAAAAAGAAAGAAAGAAAAAAGAAAGAATAGAGGAAGGAAAAGAAAGAAAGAATGAGTCGAACATTATGTAAGGGAAAGAAGGAAAGATTGAATGAACAGAGGTATTTAAGGAAAGAAAAAAGAAAGAAAGAAAGAAAGAAAGGAAGAAAAAAGAAAGAAAAAAAAGAAAGAAAGAATAAAGAAAGAAATAAAGAAATAAAGAAAGAATAGAGCAATATGTAATAGAAAGAAGGAAAGATTGAATGAACAGAGGTATTTAAGGAAAGAAAAAAAGAAGGAAAAAAAAGAAAGAAAGGAAGAAAAAAGAAAGAAAGAAAAAGAAAGAAAGAATGAGTCGAACAATATGTAATGGAAAGATTGAATGAACAGAGGTATTTAAGGAAAGAAAAAAAAGAAGGAAAGAAAAAAAGAAGGAAAGAAAAAAAGAAAGAAAGAAAGGAAGAAAAAGAAAGGAAGAAAAAGAAAGAAAGAATGAAGAAAGAAAGAATAGAGCAATATGTAATAGAAAAAAGGAAATATTGAATGAACAGAGGTATTAAAGAAAGAAAGAAAGAAAGAAAGAAAAAAGAAAGAAAGAAACGAAGAAAAAGAAAGAAAGAAAAAGGGAAAAGAAAGAATAAAGAAAGAAAAAGAAAGAAAGAATGAGTCGAACAATATGTAATGGAAAGAAGGAAAGATTGAATGAACAGAGGTATTTAAGGAAAGAAAAAAAAGGAGGAAAGAAAAAAAGAAAGAATGAAGAAAGGAAAGAAAAAAGAAAGAAAGAAAAAGAAAGAAAGAATGAAGAAAGAAAGAAATAAAGAAAGTATAGAGCAATATGTAATAGAAAGAAGGAAAGATTGAATGAACAGAGGTATTTAAGGAAAGAAAAAAAGAAGGAAAGAAAAAGAAAGAAAGAAAAAAGAAAGAAAAAAAAAGAAAGAATAAAGAAAGAAAGAAAGAATAGAGCAATATGTAATAGAAAAAAGGAAATAATGAATGAACAGAGGTATTAAAGAAAGAAAGAAAGAAAAAAGAAAGAAAGAAACGAAGAAAAAGAAAGAAAGAAAAAGGAAAAAGAAAAAATGAAGAAAGAAAAAGAAAGAAAGAATGAGTCGAACAATATGTAATGGAAAGAAGGAAAGATTGAATGAACAGAGGTATTTAAGGAAAGAAAAAATAAAGAAAGAAAGAAAGAAAGGAAGGAAGAAAAAAGAAAGAAAGAAAAAGAAAGAACGAATAAAGAAAGAAAGAAAGAAAGAAAGAATAGAGCAATATGTAATAGAAAGAAGGAAATAATGAATGAACAGAAGTATTAAAAAAAGAAAGAAAGAAAGAAAAAGAAAGAAAGAAATAATGAGTCCAGCAATAGGTAATAGGAAGGAGGAAATATTGAATGAACAGAGGTATTTAAAGATAGAACGACAGAAAGAATGAAGGCGTCGAGCAGTATCTAATAGAAAAGAAAGATTAATGAACAGAGGTATTTAAGGAAATAAAGAAAGAAAGGAAGAAAGAAAAAACGAAAGAAAAAATAATGGAATGTGTAATAGAAAAACGGAAATAATGAACAGAGGTATTAAAGAAAGAAGAAAGAAAGAAAAAAGAAAGAAACAAAAAGAAAGTATGGGCTGAGCAAAATTTAATAGAAAGAAAGAAAGATTGAATGAACAGTGTTATTTATGGAAAGAAAAACAGAAAGAAAGAAGGTGTCGAGCAATATGTAATAGATAGAAGTAAAGAGTGAAGGAAGAGGGTATTAAAAGAAATAAAGAAAGAAAGATGTCGAGCAATATGTAAAAGAAAGAAAATAGATTGAATGAACAGAAGTAAGAAAGGAAAGAAAGAAAAAAAGGAAGGGATCGCGTAATACGCAATTGAAAGAATGATTGATGAACAGAGGAATTAAAGGTAGGAAAGAAAGAAAGAAAGAAAGAAAGAAAGAAAGAAAGGAAGGAAGGAAGACAGACAGAAAGACGGATAAGAACGATAGAAAGAAAGAAAAGTGTAATATTTAATAGCTAGAATGAAAGTATGAATTAAAACTAGATTCACATCCTTACAAATTCTCATCGGGTCGCCATTTTAATATTGATGTTACCAGAACGAGGCCAAAATAGAAAATACAGATGTCTGAATACAAGTTAATATATTAAATAATGGTGAATTTGAATAATGAATTAGAATTAGCGATTATTAGATTTGAAGGCTGCTTTGTATCTTTGAATATAAATTGATTCATGCCCAATAATAACGAAACGGAAAGAATAATAAATATAAAACGAAGGAAAGAAAAACAGACGCAAACAAAAATACTTCGTAAATAAGAAAAAAAAAACGTTACAAAAATGGGAGAAATGAATGAAAAAAAAAGTGAATTAGAATTAGCCAATATTAGAATCGGAAATTCTGGATATAACCTGACATGTTTCATAAGAGTGATAATGTTCCCTCATCTCACAAAATAGGTAGAATAGGACCCCCACTCCACCCCCCCAACCCCCCCCCCAAAAAAAACAAAACAAAAAAAAACAAATAAAACAGAAGAAACAAAATCAGAAAAGAAATGAAGAAAGGAGAAAGTTAAGTGTTGTAACCATCTTTCCTTTCGTTTTATGTGCCATCTCCTTTCAAGAAGTAGCCGATCATGGCTCTCTCCCTCCCTCTATCCCTTGTAGCTCTCAGCAAGTCCCTTCCGTCAACTTCTCTCTACTTCCTCCCCACAAGACCACGTTCTGACATCCAAACCGGCCCGGTATGTCACGCGTAAGTATCAGATTCTCCAAACTCTGCATCTTCATTACGTGTCCCAAAAACTTCAGCTGCCTCTCCCTGATGTTAAGTATAAGCCTCCTCTTTGTTTGCAACCTCTCTAAGACCTCATCGTTGCTCACACGCTCGATCCATGATATCCTTAGCATCCTTCTGTAGAACCACATCTCCACCACCTCGAGTCTCTTCTTCACCTTTGAGGAAATCGTCCAACATTCGCTGCCGTAAAGAAAGACAGATGTCACGTAACAGCTCAGTATTCTTTTCTTTGTTATCAAAGAAACCCTTCTCTCTCGCAATACTCTCCACCCCCCCTGTCCCTTCCATCTACTTCCTCCCTCAGACCACGTTCTGTCATCCACTTGCTTAAGCCCGCCACGTTGTTTCCCTTGTCTCTCTTTCCTTCTATTCGACATGTGAGTATCAGATTCTCCAAGCCCTCCTCCCTTATTATGTGACCTAAAAACTTCAGCTGCATCTTCCTGATGTTAATTAGAAGCCTCCTTCTTAGGTCTCTCTAAGACCTCATCGTTGCTCACTCACACACTCGGTCCATGATATCCTCAGCATCCTTCTGTAGAATCACATCTCAGTTGCCCCGAGTCTCTTCTTAATCTTTGAGGAAATCGTCCAACATCCGCTGCAAAAAAAAGAACGTATAGCTGGCAATATTATTCCTTCAAAAACATACAGCTGGCAACATTATCCCCAAAGAAAAAAAAAAAAAAAAACGGATTATCAGAGGCCCTGCTGCTGGACGCAGTCCATCGTCCCACCCAGGACGCAGACGTAGTTTATCGGTATACCCAGGACGCAGATGTAGTTTATCGGCATACCCAGGACGCAGATGAAGTTTATCGGCATACCCAGGACGCGGATGAAGTTTATCGGCATACCCAGGACGCAGATGTAGTTTATCGGCATACCCAGGACGCAGATGTAGTTTATCGGCATACCCACGACGCGGATGTAGTTTTCGGCATACCCAGGACGCGGATGTAGTTTATCGGCATACCCAGGACGCAGATGAAGTTTATCGGCATACCCAGGACGCGGATGTAGTTTATCGGCATACCCAGGACGCAGATGTAGTTTATCGGCATACCCAGGACCCGGATATAGTTGAGGCATAATAGCTTATAAATTATGTACAAAGACATTCAAAATGCATTGACTGATTGGTTTTTTTTTTTTAGGGCGTATCAACCCTTTGTAGATTATTTAAAGCCATAAAAAATTGTGATTTAAATAATTTGGGGGGTATAATAACTATTTAGTGCTACATAACTTACTAATTAAGCCATAGCTGGTGGGGAGAAGAGGTGGATTCATACCTTTCCGAAGGGTATTTGCGCGTAAGTGAATATAACGAACCCAACTGGAATTGGAACTCGGCTCTGCGATTCACAATTCCGTGTTATTATCCATTACACCATCCGCACATCCAAGCTTACGGAACATGGTACTCCTAAGCAGTCACTCATCTAGGTACTGAGCAAGCTCGACATTGCTTAACTTCATTGAACCGGTGCTTCAACGTGATATGGACTTAAACCGAAAGTATTGCTTTTTGGTCTGTTTTGTTTTACGGCATATCAACCTCAATGAGTTATTTAATGCCGAATTTTTTTTATTGCTGGTAATATTTTTTTTTACAAAGGATTTCTTGTATTAAAACCTATTTTTATGCTTTCATAGTGCTAACAGGTATGGACCTGGGAACACCAGCAATTAAGAGGTGGTTCTAGTCTCCTCAAAACATCCTGATCAGAGGCATTGCTGCTCGACGTAGTTTATCGTCTTACCCAGGACGCAGATGTAGTTTATCGGACGGTAAACCAAAAGTATATGGTTTTTAAGGAAATATATAGCATATAAAATAAAAAAAATTGACAGAAGAAAAATATTGATGCTAATAAACTAACAAATGCGAAAGGAATATTATTAAAGATTTGTACATTATTTATATTATTCGGACTATTGTCCTCATCTTTGTCGCCATATTTATTACAACGTTTCGGCCGTTGTACGCTCCGGCCTTCTTCAGGTGTTTGGAATGTCGAACTTAACCCTTTATTTCGCTCACTGGGGTAGACTGTTCTAGTTCCACATGCCATGTTTAATGGATATCAGTTATCTTCTGTTAATTTCTCTCTGAATGTTCTCTACTGCCTTAACCGGGTATTAAATCACACTCTTTGGCTCCTGTCACTGGATCTAACCAACGCATTTATCCACTGTGCCGTGTGTCCTTGAGGACATCTGTGTATGAACATCTGTGTATGTCCTCACGGACACATGGAAAACGTAGTAATAAATATAGCGACAAAGGTGAGGGCAATAGTCCGAATGATGTAGGTAAAGTACATAATACTTCATCTCAAAGATATAGACAGATAGTAAAGATTTGGTTGTTTCAGTTTAGTGGCATATCAGCGTATATTTTGTGTATAATTTTATGGTTTTAGGGTAAACATTTTTTTTTATATAGATATATAGTTTTTATAAGCTATTGTAAGTGTTATATTTTTTGCAGAAATGGCCTAATTGGAGTTCTTCTCCTCCAGCCGTCAAGGCGAATTATTGAAGAGAAACAACTGACTGATGCGGAACTTTTTGAGTTCGTAGAAAATGAAGAATGAATTTGAATTGGACAATTACAGAATCCGAAATTCTGGATATCTTTGCATATAAACGGACATATTGAATAACAGTTAAACTGAGATCCAAATGAAAAAAAAAAGAGAGAATAAAAAATAAAGACGAAGAAAAAAACAAATCGGTTAAGAAATGTGAAAAAAGATATCAAGAAAAAGTAAAAAGAATACAAAGAAACACCAGTAAGGTAAGAAAAAAAGAAAACACAAGAAAAAGAAAATAGAAAGAAAAAAAACTGTTAGTGAGATTTTCCTGAAGATCGTGACCTCATTGACGAAACCAGCCTTGGGCCGTAAAATGTGCTACTGGCACTGTTTGTTCAAATAATTAGAAAGGTCACCATCAGTGGATTATTCAAACTGATTACCACAATGAACACATAACGAAAGACAAAAAAAAAAATACAAAAAAAGAACTAGAGATAATTATGAGACTGCTATGGAATTATATGAATAGTGATTTTCACCATGGTTTTTTGAATCATATCTTTACGCCATCATCCATATTCACATGGCAAAACTTTCCACCACCCAGCTGTATAGGAAAAATTCAAAAGCGTACCAAAGTTGTTTGGTGAAAGTTTGTTACTGGTTCGTAAACTGACGTTACAGTGATTTTCTAAGCGTAGTTTAGGTGTGTCAAAAAGCCGAAATGATTGAACTCGTAATTGTTCTTGCGAGAAAAACTTGCTAACCATTATACTATGTCTAGGCGCCCCAATGATTTTGTAAGCGTAGCATAGATGTGGAGCAAGGCCGAAAGTATAGGGTACCCAATGAGGATCTAACGCATGAGGATGGCAACTACTCTCTGTCGTAATTGATGTAGCAAGACAAAATTGTTAACCATTACACCACGGCGAAGTGACAAATAGACAGACTATATAATTTAGTAAATACCAAAGGGAGTTAATAAATAAAACAGATTTATGTGTTTGTTGCTGCTTCGATCGTATTAAAGAAAAAACGGGAGCAAACTTGACCATTGAAAACTAATAATTTATTTTATGATACGGTGGAGTACTGGATAGCGGTTCGGATTGAGGAATCGAAGAGCCGAGTTCGAATTCCGGTCGAATTCATAACATTCACTTACGTGCTAATACCCTTGGGAAAGGTATGAATCCAATTCCTCTCCCACTAGCTAAGGTTAAATAGCAGGATAGAATGGGTGGCAACTACTCTACTGAAGAAAGAAATTGCAACCTACTGCGGGAAAAAAAAATCTTCCTCGTTAGTAATGCATCGAAAGATACATGATCGCCGAAGCTATCGCTTGGTACATAACTGACTGACCTCCTAATACCCTTGGGAAAGGTATGAATCCTCTTCTTCTCCCCCCCCCCAGTTAAGGGGAAATAGAAGGACAGAACAGTTTCTATAGCTTTGGATGGCAACTGGTCTACCGCAGAAAGAAATGGCAACTTACTGCGGGGAAAATCAGCCTCGTCAGTCATGTATCGAAAGGTACATGATGGTATTCACCTACCGCTCCACCCGGTCTGATGTGGCAAAAGGCCGAGTTTATTGTGGGGTATCCAAAAATTCCCCGTAGACCCCGTAAAAAACGGGGTCGGGTAGCTGTCTATCACCCCAGACGAGATTCTGCCCTTTGGCGTAGCCTCGTCTGGGTTTCTCTCCGCCCAGAGACGCAGAGTTCAACAAGCACAGCTCCGAAGTAATTCGGTGAGTAATTTCCTAGCTCTATACTAAACATTAAATCTGTTACGAAAAAAGAACTAAACAAAATGAACACAAAACGATCAGCTTTAAAAAAAGGACTCGGAACTGGAAAAACCGAATGAACAAAGAATGTTAACAACAAATACTTTTTCACACCCAACCCAGTTCTGTGGAATCAGAATCAACGTTGAGTTTAATCAAGCGAATGAGCCAATTGGAGTAAAGTGCCATGCAGATTTAAATTTTCCCCACTTGTGACGAATGCAGCTATCGATTTTTTTTGCATGCTAGCATGCTAGTTAACATTCGTGTCAGTCAGCTGTTGGCTCTGACGCTGGCCAATAGAATCTTCCTGCCTATTCGTGGCAGCCAGCTATAGGCTCTCACTCTGGCCAGTAGAAAATGGCCGCAAACTACATGAAAACTGCCGTAGAAAGATGAAAAAATCGATTATTTCCACTATCGATGGGAGTTGGGAAATGCAAAGTCGGTCTTGGCTTCCCGCTAACTTGGAGCATTTGCATGTAAATATTGGTGCAAATTCGTCGAAAATTGCGACCGTGCATTCGTTACACACACACACACACACACACACACACACATCCTGCCTTTTATACATAGAGATCTATGAATGTAAACTTGTTATTCGCAATTAGCCTCATGTTTTTGTTTGCTTTTTTGTTTTTTTGTTTTTTTTTGCATATATCTTTTGACTATTTTTTTCGGATAGCATATGTTGAAATAACTTTTCAATACTAAATCGTTCACCGAAATTTTGTTCAGATGTTCATTGCCTGCCCAACAGTTAAAATCGCCCACCGGTGGGTGATATCGCCCAGGTTGGGAATCTGTGGTTTACGCAGCTATTCAAATTATAGTCATCAATGAAACATATAATACATGGAAGAAGAAAAAAGAAAAAACAACAACAAATTTTGAACACAGCAAACAATAAACTAAAAATATCTGCAATTTTATTCGTCTTGATCTGGCAATTTATAACTGCCTTAGTGTACGTTCTCTGTGCCTTTTCTATAAATACTTTCATGGTCAAACTTCTGATGAACTTTCCTCTAAGGTACGTAAACTTGAATTTAAACGCAATACCAAATTGGCGGTAAGGTCTCATCATTTTACATTTGAAATGGCTAGATGTAACCGTAAGTTCTATGCTAACAGTTTCTTCTCTCTCACGGTATTACATCCACGGCCTTATAGATTGGCGGCAAGGTCTCATCATTTTAAAATTTAAATGGCTAGGTGTAACCGTAAGTTCTATGCTCACTGTTTCTTCTATCGCACTTCTTGCGTGTGGATCCCGTTTCCGCCTTTTTACTTTCAAGTCCACTTTGATCTTCAAAAATTTATATGCAATGTCAGTCGTTATCTTTTGTCTTCTTAATTCTTTTTCATTTATTGTTCTCTCTAATTAATAGTATTTTTCTTTCTTTCTCATAGTGTCTAATACTTGTAACTCCTTGCGTCATAGTGACTTTATTGTCTTGCTTGGGATGAAATGATTACAAAAAAGAAATTAGGTTAAAGAAAAAACGACTGACTGATGCAGAACTCGTTGATGTCGAAAGAAATATTTAAACACAGTTCATAGTGAATTAGAATTAGTCACTTTTATAATTGAAAATACTATCGACATATTGACATTGTATAATGACAAAACTGACCCCACCCAGCAAAAAAGCAAATACAGGATGCGATGTGTAAATTGTCGTCATTTTATATTTTTATATCACACATGTGCAATGTTTGTTTTTGATTTTTAAGCACAGTATAGTAGGGTCAGTTGGGCACCGTATGTTAGAAAAAGAGCACCATGATACAATTCACTCTGCCAAAAATTTGGAAACGGCATGCTGTACTGCTTGGCATTCGCACCGGAATCTCCAATACGAACATTTCAGAGTGTTTAGTTGTCAGTCTGAGAAGAGTGCAGAGGATGTGGAAATAGTTGGATGAGTCTAATGGTAATTACGAATGTGTTTGATGTGATCACTAGTGATGGCGTCGTTATGCCTCCCTTCATCGTCCCACGGGGACTCAGACCCAACACAGAGGCCTAGATCAAGTGCCTTGAGGATGTAGTGCTGCCCTGGGTTAAGGGGGCAAAAGAACTCTGCACCATGGCACACAAGCAGGAGAGCCCAGTGATGTCTGTAAGACGATTTCTGCGACCACATCACCCCTTATATTTGGCCACCTAACTTCCCAGACTGCAACCGCCTTGATTATTATGTTTGGAGTGTAGTTGAACGAGAGACCAAAAAAACTCCTTGTAACAGCAAAGATGAGCTGAAGGCAAGGATTATGGCAGCATTCAGCAACTTACTGTTGTAGTTTTTTGGGTATGTGTGTACTAGTTAGCCAGTCAAAATGAGATGACTCATTTTATAGAAGGGTTAACCAATCAGAAAGCTCAAAATATTTAATGCGACGTGTATAAAGGCAGCCATTTTGTTTTTTCTCCCAAATTATCCTCACTGCCGACCTGATATCGAAGACTTAAAGAATTACTTAACAGCTGCTACTTTCTCCGAATCTTCACTGCCAACCTCTGATATTGAACACATTACGGACTTCCCTGGATTCTATATTCAGAGACTACGGCAAACATGGTCAACATTGGTTATGAGCCCAGATTATGACTGTGTTTTGACGGAAACGAAACCAAGTACGAATTATGGGAAATCAAATCCTTAGCCTACCTTAGAATACAAAAACTTCATGACATCATTCTTTGCCAAGATGACCAGAAAGAAGATGATGATTTTATGGAAAGAAATGCGACCGTGTTCGCCGAATTAATACCATACCTGGATGACAGGAGTTTGTCTTTGATAATGAGAGAAGCCAAGGACAATGGACGACGAGCTCTACAAATTTTGTGAGAACACTACTTGTCAAAAGGTAAGCCTAAAATTATTGCTTTATATACTGAACTAACCACATTAAGGAGAAAAGAAAATGAATCTGTAACAGATTATATTATACGAGCTGAGAATGTCACAAATGCCTTAAAAATGGCAGGTGAGACCATCTCAGATGGGCTGCTAATAGCCATGGTTTTAAAGGGATTACCACCGACATTCAAACCATTTACGACAGTTATAACTCAAAAAGATAAAAATTAACTTTCACTGAGTTTAAAATTGCGTTACGTACCCCGCAAAATCAAGGCAATAACGTAATGCAACTGAGAACGTCATTTAAAAATTCAGAAAACCAGTCCCTCAAACAGATCAAACTAGAAATTATGATATTAAAAACAAGGGGTTTAAATTATGATATTAAAACAAGGGGGGATATTAAAAACAAGGGTTTAAATTATGATATTAAAAACAAGGGGTTTAAATTATGATATTAAAAACAAGGGGTTTAAAAACAATTATTACAATAATAACCACAACTGCAACATAAACAAGGAGACTATCCAGAAGAGTTGCAGGAGATTCCGAAGTCGTGTGTAGACCGTGGTTGAAGTCAATGGCGATTATATTGAATAGATTTACTCTTTTGTATTTCAAAATATTTTTATATA